CTACAATTGAAGAGAGTTTTGACAGTCCCTAAATATACATATATATATATATACACACACACATATATACATATACATATATATATATATATATAAAGAAAAAAATCTAATTCCTAACTCCACAGCCCCATGTCAACACAAACAGCCGGGATGAGCTCCGGCTTTTCCTTCCCTAAGGAAAATGGGAAGGACAGGAAAGAGGAGACCCTTGATGTGACTATTGAGGCTTGATATAGTCTTTATTTCTAATAACAAGCCCTGTATTAAAATTCTCTTTATATTCATGCCGGAGCGGGCGTTTTCCTGGGGGATGGAAGGGGAATTCTTGGGAAGATGGAGACGGAGAGAATTATTAGGAGGAAGAAATAGTCCTGGGGGAGCAGAATTGTAAAGGGAAAAATCTGCTTGTTGTGGGAATGGATCCGCTTGGAATTCCGGCCTTTGTCACCTTGATGCCAGCGGATCCCTCTGCCTTTGTCACCTCGATCCTTTCCGTCTCCTGGATCCGTCTCCAAGGTCTCCCGAGCCACCAAATCCCGGTCCCTTCCCGCACGGATTCCGGGCAGGAAGCCAAAAAGGCCCCTCGGAGCCACGTCCCGGTGTCCCCGTCCCCACGTCACGGATGGGGACACCGTTTATTGTCCCCAAGGTGTCCCCAAGGGTGTCCCCGCAACCCCGGTCCCACCGCAAAGAAACCCCGTGCCACGTGCTGCTGGGTGAATATATATTTATATAATAAATCCGTACGTTCATAAAGTAAATAGGAACCTTCTCGATCTCATTTAAAAGAGCAGAATTTGGGGGGTGGGGGGTGCTTTTTTTTTTTTTTCTCCTTTTTTTTTTAATTTTTATTTTTTTTGGTCCTCAGAAAAACCTGCTCCAAGGGTGGAGGAAGGAGGTGGCGCCAGGTGCCTCCCTTTGGTCCCGGTCCCTACGGGAGGGAAAGCTCCTTTGGGAGCTGTTTGGCCCCCTTGGGTTTTCCAGGGCATTTCGTGGGGGGGTAAAAAAAAAAAAGGGGGGGAATTTGG